TTTAGCTGTGGTCTTAAATATTTATACATGTGGCTAGCCATTTTTGCACACTGTGTGGGCTCTGCTTCCTGCTGTGTTGTGTTGCTGCGGAGTGCTTTTGCTTTACATAAAATTCTTCTAGTATAAGGCTTCATACACATGTGCCAAAAGAGTCCTCCTGTATGGCGGGTATTCTGTAAATATCTGCAGCTGGGATCTCGGGTGTTCCGATTATCGGCGACCAGTAAGATTGTATAACTGATTGACAGGCTGAAAGCCGCTGGGACTGTCAGAGGCTGCAAACATTTATCTGCCCAACCAGCGGTTACCTGTGATTAGGAACAGATGTCCTCCTCTGGATGCAACCTGTCTGTCGCCATCTGTTGACATGCAGGTTTTTGTGTTGGAAATTTTAGTTTTCCCATAAGCTTTCAAAGTGTATGGCCAACTTTTCATAATATCTGTACCATACCATCTTCTGAGCAGCACGATCCTAAACATTTAAGCCATTCAAAGCCTCTCGTGGTGCAGTATTGTTGCCTGTAAAACACTGGCAAGATGCAAAGCAAAGATGACATTCAGTTGTGTAACCCTTCTAGTTCAGGCAACAGTTTGTGTGGGGTATGTGCCAGGCACCAAATACGGTGGTTTTGTAATAATTACCTGCTGCCAATCTTTGCTTTACTACCTGAAGTATTTTCTGCATCCAATGCTTCCTGTGTGCCACATGCCTGGGTCCACTCTGCGTTCCGTGGTTCCTTCTGCCAATTCTTACTTCAAGACACAATAGTGATGTAGGGATTATCAGGAGTTGCCAAAGAGTGCAGCTGGAAATTGGACGTCTGATTCACCAGCATTTTCCAAAGTGGAATGGTCTTTGGCAGTGGTAATTAAACACTGTTCTCTTTACAGGATGGGCTTTAATATTACTGACCACTGGTCAGTAATGTGCGTCTCCTCGCTGGTGGCTGACGGCGTGCCTCCTCGCTGGCGGCGTGCCTCCTGGCTGGCGGCTGGCGGCGTGCCTCCTGGCTGGCGGCGTGCCTCTGGCTGGCGGCTGGCGGCGTGCCTCCTGGCTGGCGGCTGGCGGCGTGCCTCCTGGCTGGCGGCTGGCGGCGTGCCTCCTGGCTGGCGGCTGGCGGCTGGCGGCGTGCCTCCTGGCTGGCGACTGGCGGCGTGCCTCCTGGCTGGCGGCTGGCGGCGTGCCTCCTGGCTGGCGACTGGCGGCGTGCCTCCTCGGTGGCTGGTGGTGTCTGCTGGCTGGTGGCTGGCAGTGTAATGGGCCCCCCCTCAGGTGGTCAGCCAGTTTGTCACCCTCCTCCCCTTGCTTGTGGTCCATCGGTGTGTGTCCTGTCCCAGTTTCATTGGTGATGACTGCCGAGGCTGAGCTTACTCTCCTCTTGTGCTGCTACTGCCAATGTCGTACACAAGAGACACGAATAAATTGTAAAATTCAGGTTGTGTTGACTGCTCACCATTTTAGGTACGACATAGTTTTAGAAATTTGCAGTTCTTGCTTCAAGAGACTGCTTACCTATTTGGAAAAGCCACATTAGAGACTGTTAAAATGTTTCTGGTGTCATTTAAAACAGACTATCTCTTGGACAAAATCTGATGTGTACAAATGTGCCTTAATACATGGAAAATGGTTAGCTTTTCTGGTACTGTTTAGAGAATTATGGCTGCCATTACTTACTGTAAATCAGTGAGGCGCAGTCCCCATTGTAATGTGTTTGGTTTAATGACGGGGTGTGTGATTTTCATGATTCCATATAAGGCCTCTCTTATTACACCACAACGACTGAACAAGGCATTCTGGTTAGTGGATTGAAGCTGTAATGAACATAATTATTGATGCTGTTGTTGGATCATGTATTAGAAGGTGTGTCCTGTGGGGGAGGATATAGGAATAGTGTAGTGCAACAGTATGCTGTGATAATGATTGGGGATCCCTGCAGGGCTTCATTGTCTGCCTACACAGTTGAGTATTTTGTGTTGGTGGATCGGAGTTTGAGTCACAGAAACAGGTTGTTGATGGCATGCGAAGACCAATAGGTATAATTTACCAATGTAAATTTCTGAGTCACTATAATATACGAAGTGTGTGTATATGTATGTGTGTGTATGTATGTATATGTATGTATATGTATGTATGTACGTTTGTTGCCTGTTTTTCCCAAGTTTGGTGAACCTGGAGGATCTGATGATTTGTTTGCAATCGCCAAATCCTCTAGGGCAGGGGTGCTCAGCCTGTGGCCTTGACTTCAAACCAGAGAAGCGCATGACCAGGATCGCGATCTAGGCTTTCCTAGGATCCGCGTTAGATCATGCTTCCTCTGTAGCGCCTACTCCTGCCCCACGAGGAGTGATGCCAAGTGCACTTCACCTGGGACCTTTCTAGCAGAAGCTGGAAGAGGCAAAGAAGGTCTGTGTATTAAACACATACACTGAACTTTTGCAATGAGCAGAGTAGCACCTATAAAAGGGTAACGACTATTGGGCTGCTTTCACACTGATCCTGGGGTGCATCTGCGACTTTCCTGCGGGTTAGCTGCACTGATCCATAGACTTCTATTATATCCTGCAGGTTGGGTGCGCTTTATGAAAGTGCACCAAACCTCCTGAATGCAGAGCGTAGCTAACTCACAGTGCGGGTAAACTGCAGCGCATCAGTGTGAAAGCAGTCTTCTAAGGGGGTTCAGGATAGTTGGGGCTTGTTTACATGTACTGTTTGGGTGTATGCATTGCTCTTATTCTCCTTTTTTGTCTTTCTATATTGACATGAGGTTTTTAAATCCACAAAACCAAACAAAGCAAATCCAAACCCAAGAACACAATTGTAGTGTATTGCAGTGTACCAAAATGTAGAACCAAAAGTAACATTTTCTTAATTAATTTTGGATAGAGAAACTTGTTTTTTCCTTTTTTTTTTTTTTTTTTTTTCCTTGCCATCACTACACTGTCAAGGCATGTCCTTGCACATTGCTGTCTTGGGCACTGTCATGTACAGAAAGGAGTGAGGCTTTGTTCACACTGTTCCTTTTTGTTTTCCTTTTGGAAACACCTTATTACTGCAATGGCAACACAGTGGAAAGAACAGACTATGGTTTTCCACTGACCGTTCCTAAGCCCTGGTTCACACCAGTGCAACTTATCAGGCGACATGAGAGCTCAGAATCGCATGACAAGTTGCACCCCATTAGCGGCAATGAAACCGTTCAAATAGATGCGACTCAAGTTGCAGCAAATTTGAAAAAGCTTCCTTCATTATTTTTGAGCGACTTTATTGCAAATTGCATTGCATCTGTTAAATGAAGTTGCAGTGTCAGCAGGCCACCATGAAGTTGCACTGAATATTCATCTTTGAAGTCACGCTGTGTGAATCAGGGCTTGGATGGAATTTCTAAAAGAAGTTACAAAAGTAAAGCATAACTAAAAGCACAACTTTTGCTGTTATGGATAGTGAGGAATAAGTAGAACACCTGTCAGGTTTCTATTGCTGTTTGTATCGCTGTCAAGAAGATTCACCCTTTTGGGTTGTCCCCAGAACAGGAAGAGAGATGAAATCGTCCAGTGGGTACACTAGTTCTGGTGACAACTAGGGATTCCCTGACTTTGGAGGGATTTCTTGTCCCTTCCTGTTTTGGCTATGGAACAGTAAGTGAAGGGAAATCTCCCCAATGGTACACATATGGCTATAAAAAATAACCAACAGGCTATAACCATTCCTTGCTCTTTTCAAAATATATATATATATATAAAAGTTTTTGTCTTTGGTTCTATTTTAATGAATGTTATCCACCCATCTTTGCAAATAGGTAGACTCTTACAACATATGAAAATGAGGTTGAATGCTGTGTTAAATTTTTAATGGCTAATGTCAGTGTTGAAATAGACAGACATAAACTGTTCTTACCTGCCAAAAGATGTATACTTGTGTTCAGCCAGTCTTGTGATCCTGGCATCCCTGCCTGACAGCATCATAAAAGGGTAAACGTTTTTAATTTTATTAAGTCAGGCAAGCAATGCAGCTTGGGCATGCCCTCAGCTTGTGATTAGACCGTGAAGAAAAAGCAGCTCACTGATGAGTTTCTCTCTGCTCCCTCCTTTTATACCCATGGCTGATATCATTATGGAAAGCACGAATTGTTGCTGCCCCTCCCTCTCCCAGTCCATGTGCTGCTGCTGTGTGAAAATTTAGCAGAGTTGTCAAACTGGCAGCCGTCCAGCTGTTGCAAAACTACAAGTCCCATCATGCCTCTACCTTTGGGGGTCATGCTTGTAACTCAATCTTGCAATGTCTCATGGGACTTGGAGTTTGACAACAGCTGGAGGGCCTCCAGTTTGACACCTGTGAATTAGAGGCTCATATCAGGAGATCTATCTATCTGGCATTTTCTTAAAAGTAGTAAACATGTTATACTTAACTTCTCTGTCCAATGGTATTGCACTGAGCAGCCCTGATCTTCCTCTTCTCGGGTCCCCCACCAGCGTTGCTCTTCAGCAAGTCCCCCATATAAAGCCACTTCCTATAGGAGCACTTTTGCGGGCTTGACTCTGAGCCACACCCTGTGTGTCCATTAACACACAGAGCGCAGCTTGGCCCCACCCCGCACTCGTCCCACAAATTGGATTGACAGCAGCAGGAGCCAATGGCTGTTGCTGCTGTCTCCATAGCCAGTGAGGACAGAGAGCCGCTGCTCTCGAGCACAGTGCTCGGTCGAACTTGGGCTCAGGTAAGTAAAGGAAGTGGTGGGGGCACATGAGGTTTTTTATCTTAATGCAGAGAATGCATTAGGGTATAAAAAAAAATCTGTCTTTACAACCTCTTTTAATATAGGACTTTTTCCTAATTGGCTGAAATAATTTCATATTTGCTGAAATTTCAGTTTTAAAAGCTTTATTTAATTATGCTGAAATTTCAGTTTTAAAAGCTTTATTTAATTATGCTCTCCCTTTCTAATGTTGTGGCATAATAAGAATGTTTCTATAGACGAACCCGTTTTATATTCTTCTTTCAGGAAATTACGGATGATCAGGGACACAGCAAGATCTTGTCTTTTACAATTCCATCCTTATCAAAGCCATCTGTGTTTCACGAGGTAAGTAAACACTCAACTTGTGTACAGAATGCTTCTTTCCTGGAATGAGCTTCTGAAGGTGATTTTAGTTATTTTATCCATCTGTCCATATTATCCTCGTACAGCTGGCATATACTGTAAATTGAAGGAGTGCTTTCACACACAGTCTCTTGTGGGTGGCATTAGTCAGAGATGCTATAAGACAATAAAGAACAGTTCCATCTTGAATGTGTGACTTGGTTTTAGGTGTGCTGGTGCAGGGTTCAATCCTGTGTCAAGCATTAAAATATCTCCAGGACTGTGGTTGGGGTGATCTCCTTTATCCTAGTTTGCCTTTCTGCCAAACAGCAGTATCCCTCAGTCTGTGATATCTATAATATATCATTCGAAAAGATTTGTAGATTTTCCTTTTAGTGGCTGTCTGTAATTTCAGTGCAATTAATTATGCACCCTGAATAACACTACCTTTGATAAAATCTCAGCCCCCCCACATAGATCATTTTGTTGAAAGTTCGGTTTGCATTGATAGAGGGCAATGTGACACAACCATTGTGCAGCACTGTTAAGTAGAAAGTAGAACCTGCATAATTAATAAGCAAATAGAACTGCCTCAGTATTTATAGTTAGGAGAGATGGGGTCCCACGCTGCACCATGCTGGCAGGGGACTGGCTTTTCTAAGCTTCTCATCTTTTATTTCCAAACAATCTGATCTGTGGAACGTGGGATTTATTTGAAACCAAAAGTTCTAATGGGGATCTTACACATACCCCACACACTATTTTGACATTTTATTAGGCATTCTTCCATAGATTTACAGAAAGCAATCTTTCAGAGCTCCGCATCCCCGTTCCCTCTGGTCCATTTTTTTTTTTTTGGTAATTTTGATTGATCGACCCAGGATAACAAAACTCAATGCCAGGAGAGTCCTATAGAGTCTCTTCTGCCAGGAGGCTACCTGCTAGCAATTAGGAAACCATACGTGTGTAGGAACGTCACTAAGTTTGTGTGGTTTTGTTTGTGTTTTTTTTATTTTTATATACAGGTGTACCTCGGTTTACGAATGCCTCGGTTAACGTTATTTTCAGTTTACTAATGAAAATCCATTGAAATGAATGCCTCGGTTTACAAATTTTTTCCCCAGGATGCATTGCACCTGGGAGGTTTACAGCACCGGCCCCATGCCTTTAAAGTGCACTTTATAAAGCGTTTTGAACAGATAAGACTTTTTTTTTTTTTTACTTTTTTCTGACCTCCGGAATGGATTAATTGGTTTTCAGTGCATTTATGATGTTTTAATCGTGTCCCTGTACAGTATTTATGCCTTTAAAATGCACTTTATAATGAGTTTTGAACAGATAAAATACTTTTTTTTTCTGACCTCCAGAATGGATTAATTGGTTTTCAATGCATTGCTCTGGGAAACTTTCGGTTTACAAATTTTTCGCAATACGAAGCATCCCGGAGAACACATTAAATTCGTAAACCGAGGTACTCCTGTAATTAAAACTCAGCAGCTACAAATATTTAATGACTTTTAGCAACCCCGCACTTACCGGTCCATGGATTCGGCGCTGCCTTCCCTCGCACTATTGCAGGTCCCTGGCAGCACCATCTTGTCACCATGAAGGCCACAGCCAGCTCCCCACTGTGCATGTGCAAGATTGCAAGGTTCATGGAAGACTGGTCCCGCAGCCTCCTGGGACATCAAAGGTGTCCCAGAGGCTGCTGGCTGGGCAGGGGGTGTGTTGAGTGACTGCATCCTCGCCTAGGTGCAGATTGAGGAAGTAGGTGCAAGTACTGACTAAAATTTTTACTTTTTCCTTAAAAAAACCCCAAAAAACTGCTACTCCATTTCAGACAGGGAGTAGAGCGCAAATGAGCAGTATTTCACTTTTTGAGTGAAGTTCAACTTTATGTTCCACTTTTATTAATAGTGAAAATGGGCTGTTTTTTTTTTTTTATTGGGATAAGTATGAAGTGCACGTCAGTACATTGGTGAAAAATTATAGCACTTATATGTTTGCAGCATATGACATTTTATCCCAGAGAAATGGGCACTAAAACACTTTCTTAAGTACTGAGCTGCAAAATTATGCAAGGCAGTGCAGCTTTATTAACTGGAGAACACCTGGGGCCTTGTTCAAATTAAATTCTTAAATCTGCAAGGACTGCGAAAAGACTGCATGCCACTCAAACACCACTTTAACATATCTGAGTTACACTGCTGTCCATTATAATGAATTAAGCAGCAGAAAGGGATTTTTCCGGTACTAACACTAACCATATTTTGTTGAAGTTTCTCTCGTTCAGCCCAAGAGAAATCTTAACATGGATGGAAGAGTCTTCCCTACCAGCTATTGCGCTTTGGCGCTTTGCTCCTGCGGCTGTCAGAAAACCCAGACAGCATCTGATTGGGTGCAGCTACTGTTCAGCTGAGAATTTTCCACTCGGCTCCATCGATTTTCAGATCTAAGTTTGTTGAACTGGGTGGCACCAACGGGGCTATCCATGTTTAATTTTCCTGCTAAATCGTCCAAAATTCGAGCCATTTATGACCAGCATAACTGTTTTAAAGGTGTAACTTTTAATCAGGTGTCCCTTCCTGTCTCTATTCACAATGCTGCACCAGTAGTTGTCTTTCAGCTCATAATTTGTTTTTAATTTTCTGTAACCTGAAAGTCAAAGGCCCTTTCTTTTTTTTTTTGGATGATTCACGAAAATGGGGCCAGACCAGAGGAGGCAGCTGTACGCATGCTGCAGTTGTTCGACTGTTCTGCTGCTCCTTTGACTTTAATATTAATTGATCCTAGAACATGGATCAGGTCAGGAGCCCAGCAACTAACATTTTCAGGAGTGTTGCCATGGAAACCCCTGCATTTTCTTTAATATACTTAGTGTTGAATTTTTTTTTTTTAACTTAATCGGTGGATGTGTTAGACTATTCTGATCAAAGTAGCTGGAGAATGATAAGCAGCTTATGTGGGCATGTCGGGTGAACTAATGATGCATATTAGCCCAGATTGCTGTTAAATCGGTCAGTTTTGACAGAAGGGCATAGGGTCACTAGACTTTATTCCCATTTAATTAAACTCTGCTAGAAAGAGCTTTCCAAACAGTTTATTAAACCCTAGCTCTTCTAGAAAGTGTTCACTGAAATATACTGTAATACTGACCATTACATCAAGGTTTCTTATGTGACTCAGTCCGGCCCCATGCACTTTCGGTATTCCTGAAAATGACATGTATATCTGTTTTAGGGAGCTTTGGGTAATTTAATAGCGGTGTTTGAAGAAATGGGGGCATATGGAGAAATCCTATTGATCATTGAGTGATGAAGGTGTGTGTGTGTCGTCTCCTTGCCTTTTGTGTGATTTATTACTATTCTCTCTGCTGTATATGCTGGGTAGTCCATGCACTGTCCAATCTGCCAGACAAGAACCTAGCATAGAAAAAGGCACAGGAATCTCATGTTACTTGAGCCAGACTAGTGGCCTAGAATGGTAAAAAATTTGAATGCCTGCCCTACCCAGAAGGGTGTCTGTTGGCCCAAATACAGTGAAGGAAATAAGTATTTGATCCCTTGCTGATTTGCCCACTCACAAAGAAATGATCAGTCTAAAAATCGAATGGTAGGTGTATTGTAACACTGAGAGACAGAATAGCAACACAAAATTCAAAAGAAATGCATTTCTAACAAATTATGCACTGATTTGCATGTTTCCATGCTTTATTTTGTTGAAAAATCACTTTGAAAAACATGCCCTTGTATTTTTAGCCGCTGCTGTCTTAAGTATAGGCACAGGAATCTTGTAGCAGTTACTTTCTGGAATCCATCTGCTGCTCTTCGATCAGGCATGCAGGCAGGAGGATGTTCTTGGCTTCAACAATGATCCTCCTATTTTTGAGGTTCCACCTCCTCTAGCCATTATGAGAGTCCTAGTCCCTTTGGGTTCATTTTTTGCTTTAAATATGAAGAATGCAGCAAGATAATTGCTACAGGAAGAGTGATATCCCATGAACATGTGGGACAGGGATGGAAGCTGTGGTGGTGAGATGAGCCTACTGGAGCCTACAAGAGACGAAACTGCCTATGTTCTTCCTGTGCTGAAATAGCTTTTGAGTGGCCATATCCTGTTGAAAGTCAAGTTTAAGTATATTATTTAAGAGCAATTATTATATCCTCAATCAGATGCACTATTGTGATTAAAATTGACAAACCTTTTATTTTTCCTGTTTATTTCTAGCCATCCAGCATAGGATCAATGGCATTAACAGAAGGCGCTCTATCACAGCATGGATTAACCAGGGTTGTGTACAGTGGGCCTAATCCCCAAAGAGAAATGCTAACTGCTCAGAACAGGTGATAAGCACTTTCTTCAATTTGCTACCCACATGTTTGTTAGTTAATGGTGTGTTTATTGTCCTCTGAAGTTTCCACACTAAGAACTGTTAAGTGGAGATTTTAATCTAATTTATTTATGGTTACCCATCCCTTACCCATGGGTAAATGCTAGGGCTTCCTACCATTTTAATAGAACCAACTTAGAAATCAGGACTTACAAAGCCAAGCTACTCCCTTCACCTTTTACCAACAACTACTCTGACAATGGATGGGAAAATGTGTATTCTGGATTTATCTCAAGGGTATGCTGTTTAAGCAAGCAGCTACTTCTTTGCTACTGAGATATTTACCTATTTATTGGCCTTTGCCTCATGTACAGTGCATTGAAGTAAATGTGATGCTAAAAGAGAGAACGGTCATCCAGAAATTAAATCTCTCAGTTGCAAAGGGATCTAATCACCAGGGATCTAATGCAAAATGATCCAATCACCAGGGATCTAAGGCTGGCCATAGATGGTTCATCTTTTTTCCATCAGCCAGCTGGCTGATAGGGAAAAATAAACTGATTCCCCAATCCACACATGTAAGGTGCATGGAGGAATCCCCCCCACTGTGCCATGTGTATTCTGACACTTGGACGCCTCTGCTGTCTGTACACTGATCAGCGACTGCAGCTGATAAGCTTCAGATCAACAAAACTTGACCAGCAGCCCAGTTCGACAGACGTCCATTCGTTAGATCAACTTCTGTTGAGTTGGAATGGCCATAGATGAATCGAAATTCGTCCTGTCCCTGCTGAACCAGCTGCACTGAATTTCGATCCACTTATGGGCAGCCTAATGCAAAGGGATCTAATCACCAGGGATCTAATGCAAAGGGATCTGTCTGTCACATCAAAAATAGCCTTATGCAATAGTAATGATTGGGTATGGAAATTGTATTGGAAATATCCTCTTTGTTTTGGAGGAGCTTAAATACAGTAAAACTATTTCCAGTAGAACAGTTTTCTGATTCTCTAGAACTACTGAAACATTAAGGCTGGGATCATACTGTTGCAGTGCGTTAAATACCACGGTTATGTTTCCAATACTCTATGCCACTTATAGCACCGCTCAAGGTGCTCTGATAAATTCGGTGTCTCACTGCAATATAGGTGTGCAGGCTGGCTTATGCCTAATCCAGAAAGCAGTGAAGTATGAGGGGATGAGAGATGCCACTCAACAGGTGAAGAGGAATATGAATGGCCTCAGCCATGAGCTCCTTCCGTCTCTGATGCATTTCCCCCCACCAGTCAGGGTTAATCATAGAGAAATGCATCCGAGATGGAGCTCATGGCTGAGGCCATTCATATTCCTCTTCACCTTTTGACATAGTGGTGTGCGGTGTCTCTTATCCCCTCACACTGTAATGGTTGTTGCATAAATGCAGCTCCATTCATTTGAATACACTATTGTAATGCAGTGCACCACATTGAACAATAGTATGTTGCTGTGCTTTGTGGTGCCTTAGAATGCACCTGCTTTGGCAAGATATTTTGGGGGCCATTACAAAGAATGGCACAACAGCTCATGACCGCACCTTTTCAAGCGTTGTGGTGACGTTCAGTGCAGTGCAGCAGTGTGAAACCCATTTGAGCTGGACTTTACACCTACCTTATGTTTTTCCTTGATGAATTTTCCATGGAAATCAATGGAAACTCATCAGAATGCATGAATTAAAACACACAACACTGCTGCATCACAACACATGACCAATAAAAGCAGAACTCCACCTAGATATTCAGTAGACACAGAATTGGCTTAAATACAAGAATGTGACTTGGTATCAGACACCACCGTATTCCCTCGGCAATAGCACTCAGCCTTGGAGAGGGAGGGAAAGAATCAATCAGGGCTTGGTCAGACAAGAATGACCTCCTGAGATCCTTAGGTCTTGCACACAGCTCCCTTTCCTAGCTGTGCTCTCTAGCAAGGTGCTTGGATCACAAGACTGGCCGAACAGTATAATCCTTTGTCAAGTAAAACCGTATACACATATTTCAGCTGTATATTTAGTTCAGGCTACTGCTGTTCATTGGAGCATAGTATACATGATTTTATAATGATATACACTATTACAGTTTATACAGGATTTACAGTATATAGCACCAACAGTGTGCACAGCGCATTACAACATGAGGCCAGCTAGTACAGTTACAATACAATTCAATGCCGTAGGAATCAGAGGGCCCTGCTCGTGCTTGCATCTAAAGGTACAGTCAAGTGATACAAAAAGTAATAACTGTGAGGGATCAGTTGATGGGTAAAATAGAACAGTTGTCTCAAGATTTTCTGTTTCCTGGGAAAAGTGATATTTAAATCCTCTCTATTTAAGAACGTATTTATGGTATGATCAAGATCTGTAAAATAGACTTTGCTTATCACAGTGTGGTCTGTGTGTGCATTAAACCATAAATAATGTCTTTGAATTGGGCCTGGAAAAGCTTTTCTTCTCTCCGCTGAGCGCAATTTAACATCCTTGTCAGCACATTGCTGCAGAACCGTTATCAAAGGTAATTTAAATCTGCATTTATCTATGATCATTATGGAAGCGGAATACTTCAGACAACAAAAGCAATTCATCTCCTGTCTGGCATTGTATGTTTAAACCTCCTCCGTTTGTGTGCCTAATCTGAATAAGGAAGTATAGATTTACAGCTCTTTCATAGCGGGATACTGCACCTTAATTATCCGTTGTTATTTTTATCCTAGATAACTAAATTAAACCCAAAACGTTTGGTTTAAATCCACCAAATACATTCCAAGTGCATCAAAACAAAAGGTCTTTGATGCATTCCAGAGTCCATCAATCAGCAGGTAGCTTAAAGTAGACCTGCCCAACCCCCAAAACCACTACCACATTTGACACATTGTATTTTTTTTTTTTTTGGGGGGGGGGGGGGGGAAGGGGGGTACTTAGCTTTGATAAGTACCCGCTCTCACTTCTGTCTGCAGTTTGCCTGCAGCCTTTTGGGACATATCACAGGTCTCAGGATCATTTACAGAGCGCAGTGGGAAGCCAGTTGTGAAGCCACAAGGAGTCACAGCCAGCATCCCACAGTTAGCATACTGGCGCCGGGGATGACAGTGCTAGATTCCTGGACAGGTAAGTGTCCTTTTATTAAAAGTCAGCAGCTACAGTAACTGATGACTTTATTTTTTTTTTTTTTTTTTTTTTTTTTTTTCTAGGGTGAAGGTCCTCTTTTTTTTAAGCTTTACAGTGTAATAGGTCTACTGCAGCAAGGATGTGTCAGACCTCTGCAGAGAGAAATCTGCTTCCAGTGGAACTCCACCCAAAAGGGGTGCACCTCCTCCGCTGTCACATTTGGAACTTTGTGGGGGAGGGGTGGAGTGAGTACCTGATTTTGACAGGTACCCGCTCCCGCTTCTGGCCGTGGCGAACAGAGCCAGAAGTCTGGCCCCTTACAGTCTTTTAGGACACTTCACAGGTCCCAGAAGACTACAAGATCAATCACAAGGCGCAGCGTGACTCGCTCATGCCCAGTAGGAAACCCACTCTGATGCCGCAAGGCTTTACTTCCAGTTTCCCTTCTTTGCAATGCCAGCGCCAGGAACCCGAGACTAGTTCAGAACTAGCCCGGGTGATGATGGCGCTGGACCCCTGGACAGGTAAGTATCCTTTTACATTAAAAGTCAGCATCTACAGTAATTGTTGCTGCTGACTTTTAATTTTTGGAGGGAGCCTGGAACTCCTCTTTCATATTACATAGAAGAAAAAAGCTACATAGAATTTCTACGCAATTACAAAGGTAAGCAGCAGCTTTTAAATTATTATTTATTTTTTAATTCTAGTGTGTTAATGAAAACATGTAACAAATATGCAGGTGTTATCCCAATTTGGATGCAAAGGTGGAAATACACTTTAGGCCATTTGTCATCAGATCCTGTAGATGTGCAAGCTCATGATGATCTAATATAAAAGGGTACCAAAAAAAATATTGTAACTCATCCTCAACTTTTAAGAATACGCTGAATGTTTTCTCATTTTTTTGTAGATTTGAAGTGCTGGCATTTCTTCTACTTTGTTATAATTCTGCCTTAAACTTCATGCCATCTCTTTCACTCCGATCCCTGTGTCAAATGTCATCAAGGTAAGTTTTTGTAATTTGTTTTTTATTATTTTTGTATTTTATTTATTATTGTTTTTCCTTTAAGAACAAAGTGGGCAAATGTCTCTTCCATATTTCTGTCTATTGCTGAAATGGATTGTCCCATTCTGATTAAGAACTTTGTTTTTGAATATGAATATGGTTGCTGACCACTCGTCCTCTTCCCATGGTTTATACTTGGTAATAAACTTATTTTAGCTACACAGATGTTAGGCCTGTGTTCTAAGCACCTGTTTCCTGGTCTAACACTGTACTAAAGAGGCTTAGTCACACATAAACATGCAAATAGGGACAGAACAGTTCCTCTAATCTCAAATTGACAAAAATTATAAGAACTTGGAATGGCTCATTTTCAGCCTACATGTTTTTTTTTTTTTTTTTTTTTTTTTGAGAGTTAGAATTTTAAATTGTTTAACTGCATTTACATTTAGATAAGTTTAGCTATAAATTCATACCGTAGTTTGAAAAGTTTATTCCTGTAAAGTGAGTCTATATGTATATGACTGACATTTTTGAGTGTTTCTTCTACTAAGTTAAATGGAAATGTTGCTGTAAAGTACTATGCCTTTCAGCATGAGTAACCTAAAGTGGTATTGAGCCTAAAACATTAATTTATATTGCAGCTTACTAGTTCATAGCTGTGGTGGCCACATTTAAATTTTGATTTCTTTAGGCTTTTTTTTTTTTTCCCCATTATTTTCACCTGGTGATTTGACCTGATTGTAAGCTCCATGAGCAGGGCCCTCCTATTCCTTCTGTATTGTAATTGTGCTGTTCCCCCTTTTGTATTGTAAAGTGCTGAGCAAACTGTTGGCGCTATATAAATCCTGTATAATAATAATGTCTGTCTTTTTTTTTTTTCTATTTTACTTCCTTTAACAGACCAAGTTGTACAGCAAAGTTTCAGTTAGTGGGGTTAGACAAACCATTTAACACTGATATGAATGCTTACAGTGGTCAGCTTTTATTAATTTATGTAAAACCTTTATCTAAAAATAATCTACTGATCAGTAAAGTGCAATATATTACATTTTTGTTTTTGGGTTTAATCGTGCTTTAATTCTCAAAGTTTATGTAAATTCTACTGTTAAAATCTTAAATAACCTTTAGCATATTGGTGTCATTTCAAAACTGCATTTCAAGATAAGGTATGTATTTTATACAAAACTGTAAAATACAAAGAGGGGGCTCTCTGTTACAGCCCAATTTCAGCAGAAGCAGCATCTTTTTTTCTGATGGTCATTAGTGGACTAAAGTCAGCCATTCATAGACCTCCGATAAGGGGGTACCACTGGCCCAAAGCCCATCCTTCAACAGAGGGACCCAGGCAGCTGACAAGCAGTGGGAAGGGGATCCTGGACAGGGAGGGTGATCAGTATGGGTGTTGGAGGGGTCATTACTGGAACTGATTGCCCTGTGGCAGCCGCCTTCTCCTCTCCCCCCCACTGGCTTTCAGCTGCTGCAGGGGGAGCCACAGGAGGCTTGGTTCTAGCAATTGTGACCAGTACCAATCACTCACTGTGTTCATTCATCACTGAGGCATAGTAAATTGTTTACTAGGATTCAGTTTTTGAATGAACAAAAAACCTCTGTACAGTGTATTTCCAGTTCATTCATCTGCAGTGCAGCTGAGATTGCAGAGAAAGGATTGTAGAATCTATGTCCTCAATCTTTTTCTCTGTCTCAAAAGTTAGATATCAGGAGTCTTTCAAATTAGGACCTGTGGCTGTTCAGCCACTGCGCCCCCATTACGTAACATAGGCTACCTGCACACTGCTCCACCCACATAAAAAAAAAAAAAAAAAAAGCAGATTCAGTACAGGCCATGACATCAATGTGAATGTGCCCCAAGAGCTCATTTACACTCAGAGCTTTATTTATTAACTCACTACAGTTTTATCTTTTAGATTTAGCAGGAAGTTATGTTGTTGTGTCTGCTAATAATGAATTTAGCATATTTTTTGTGAAAATATTAATTTGATATTTTGGGGGAGGCACCCTGTCAGGTAGGCTGTACAGGGCCCTGTGATTTCTAACAGTAGCCTTCCTTTAATTTAATGTTTATTATAGGAAGCCATTCTATCGTAGAGAACAAGATGCTATATCAAATCTCATCTACAGCTATACGGTTGGTAAAAATCTAACATTGCTGCTCAGGAAAATGGGGAGACTGTATGAGGTAGTAGGGGCATGGTGTTCTTCATAAGTGGCCTGTTTTATCTCTGTGGAGGAATTCTTTTACTTATGGTTTATGCATGAGTAGTCCACTACTTTTAGGCCCTGTGCTCCTTGGCACACAGTCCATGTCATTAAATGCCAACAGGCTGTCGCACTGCACTCAAACTTACCATTTTCAATTCAAAGTGTATATCATAGCAAAATTTAACAAATGTATGCGGTACGTCTCTGCAATATTTTTTTTGCAGTCACTTTATAGTGCCTACAATTTTTATGCAGCACTTTACACATTTTATTTTTTTTAATTAATAAACCAGTCAAACAAAAATGTTTTCAATGATGTATTGAACAGGCCAAAATGGAACAAATAAAATAATTTTATTGTTAGGGCCCCCCTTTCACACAGGGAGGAAACTACTTGTTCAGCGGAGCAGGCAGATGACAGGTCCATGTGTGTTTCGCCTATGTAGAGCCCACTCTGGACACAGCCCACTGTGCTCTATGGGCAGTCAGATATAAACAGACCAGCTGTCCATTTACACCCATCTGCCCTACAGTCCGATCCACCCAGACGGAGGGGAATGGATCCCCTTCTGTATGTTTTTATTGGATTAGCTGTAGTCGGGTGTGAATGGACACAAGTCCCACGTACATCCAACGTTCCATAGAGGAGAATGGAGGGTCTGATCCAGTCCACCTGAAAAACGGGCAGGCAGACCCGATCAGATCGCTAAATAAATATATTCATTTATTAGCTTTAATACATTTATTTTTGCAGGAACTCCCTCACTTTTTTTTCTCCTGTTCCCATCACACCCAACAATAGCTTTTTCCAGAACTCTGTAGAAATGTAGAAAACACCTATATGATCTCAAGCAGCTTTGTTTTAGCCATTGTGCTGCAAATGGAGTGCAGATGGACTCAGCTCTGATTATGTGTTGGCTCTTCATGCTAAGTGAGTATTCTGCAGATTGGGGCACCAGGGATTTCTTTTTGGCAGGGCATCTGTGTAGAACTTTCCTGATTTTAAGTTATGCTTTCTGATGATCATTTTAACTGTGCTTTAAAAATGGAATAGTTAAAGACACAGTTTGGACATTGGTAACATTTTTGCAAGTGTTTTTTTATTTTATAACATTTGAAGTTATTTGAGATTTTTTTTTTTTTTTTTTTTTTATCTTGGAGGTAACTAAACTTTGAAACATACAAAGGCTCACATAAAAGGAAAACAGAGCTTCCTTATAATGTTTAATGCAGAGACAGAGGAAGTCAGAAGAATAAGAAACATTCATCCAATGAATTCATATCATCCATATCGTGTCCATATCATTCATCTAGTGTAGTGGTTCTCAACCTCTGGGTCGTGACCCCTTTGGGGGTCGAACGACCCTTTCACAGGGGTCGTCTAGGACCATCAGGAAAACACATATTTCCGATGTGTAAAGAGCAGCTACTGTGTTGAAAGCAGCTACTGTGTTGAAAGCAGCTACTGTGTTGAAAGCAGCAGTATTGGGAGGTAAAACGACACTTCATGAATATATAATTACTGGGTAAATAATTTTATGGTTGGGGGTCACCAGAACATGAGGAACTGTATTAAAGGGTCACGGAATTAGGAAGGTTGAGAACCACTGATCTAGTGCATGCCTCAAAGAGTGCTCAGTGTCCTTCTAATCCCATTAAAGTGGTTGTAAAGTCTGAAGCTTTTTTTTTTTTTTTTTTTTTTTTACATTTTTGCATCCTATGCATGAAGGTAAACCTTCTTCTGTTCTGCTCCCCACAGCACCCCAATACTTACCTGAGCCCAGTCTCGATCCATTGTTGTGCATGGGAGCCTCTGCTCTCCTGGGTGTCTCTCCATATTGGCTGAGACACAACAGCGGGAGTCATTCACAGTCAGTGATGAGCTCTGTCTCTTATGGCAGGGGGGAAAGGCCAGGAGCATTGGTGGGGATCCGAGAAGAGGAGGATCAGGACTGCTCTGTGCAAAAAAAAAATTGCACTGGGCAGTTAACTATGACATGTTTGTTGTGTTTTAGAAATAAAACCGGAACCTTTTACTATCACTATAAAACTGTATTAGTCATAAGTAAGTAGGAAAGTAATCTGATTGGGTGGCTTCTTTTCATGTTTTCAATGGACTTTAAAAAGTGTAGATTTCAAGGAACATGCAGTGCCCTCTGGATAAATCGTGTATCTACTGTAACAAAACGAGGATACGTCTGCTCGGAGTTCATAGGGTTTTTACATTTGATATTGCTTGGTATAATGGTTTGTTGTTAATGATATACTGTGATAGTTATGAGTGTGACAGATTATATAAAGTCACATAATTAGTGTCATGAAATTTTTGCATAGTGACAGTGGGAGATTAGATTATCAACCTTCATAGAGTAATCCGTATGATCGTATCAGATTATACACCGTGATTAGGTTGTGTGACTGGTCAGTATGATGGTTGGGAATGACTCCGCACTGTGGCATTGGTCTGCATTATGGACGGTCGCTCACCTGTTTCCCCTAAGTAGGGCAAGCAGATAGGGCCATGGAAGATGTAGTATGGAGCTGGAAACCGTGTGTACAGTGGAAAGAAAAGGTTTGTGGCTTGTGTAGACACAGTGGGGAAGAGGACTGGCTAGATACAGCCATTGGTGAGAGAAGAGCTATAGAAAACCCAGTGGCAACAGTAGTGGGGGATTGCTTTGTCCTTTGTTTAGCAAGTCTTACAGACTATGAATGTTCCCTAATCTGACTGTAAATGGTAGGATCAACAAAGTATGACCTTGTATTGTGCAGGTACCTTT